TTTGTTTTTCAAAGTGTAACTGGTTGACAAATAATCCCTTCAATGTATCTGTTATATCATCCAATATCTTTCACATAACAATGTGATAAATCCCTCTTAAAATTTAGAGCCAGAGTCATTTTCTCTTCAACATGTGTAATTTATCAAAAAAAAAGTGACCCTCAGGAAAATAATTAAAGCATGTTAATAAGATAAACACACTGTCAGTTTTAAAACTTAAATTTAAAAAAACAAAAGTAAACTAAGAAATTTATTAAATTTCATTTGTAGCAGGGAAATTGATCTCTCTCCTCTCTGTCTCTGTCTCTTTCTCGTTTCTTGAGACAGGGTTTCTCTGTGTAGCTTTGGAGACTATCCTGGCACTTGCTCTAGAGACCAGGTTGGCCTCGAACTCACTGAGATCTGCCTGCCTCTGCCTCCCGAGTGCTGGGATTAAAGGCGTGTGCCTCCAACGCCTGGCGGGAAATTGATCTCTACATAATTTACGATCTTCTTTTATTTATTTGTCATGTATACAGTGCGTGCCAGAGGAGGACACCAGATCAGTTGTGAGCCACCATGTGGGTGCTGGGAATTGAACTCAGAACCTCTGGAAGAACAGTCAGTGCTCTTAACCCCTGAGCCATCTCTCAGGAGTTTTTTACCTTCTTAACATAACTACACTTGAGTTTTACAACCATCTCTGACTCCAGTCCCGAGGAGATCAGATACCCTCTTCTGACTTCTGCAGGAACCAGACACACACATGATGCACATACATACTGCAGGCAAACCACTGATACACCTAAAAAATAAGGATATCTTAAAATTTTCATTTTTCTCAAAATATTTTAACGTAATAGTTGGATAAAAACCTTCATGCATGCTCTGAAATCTAAAATTACTACAAAATAAACAGCTAGGAATGATTAAGAACTATTCACACACAACTTTTTCACTATTTCAAAGTGAATAGTTTAAAAAATAAAGTCCTTACAAAAGCCATGGCTGACCACAGATAATGAGTATCATATTCAATTCTAGAGTAGGAGGAAAATTACTGGAAAATTTTCTTTTGTATTTATTTATTTGTGTGTAAGTACTAAAACTCCAGCAAACATCAGCTCATCATAGCAAGCCAATTTAGAACTTTACCTATCAATGTCCAAATGGTCTACAAAAATACTTTTAGTTAATTGTCTTGCATTTAAAACTTTTTTGAAGTCTATTGTTAGGGTTTGAACGTGCGCCAAAGATGAACTGTGATCCGGGATGGTGAAGTCTCTTTAATCAAGAAAACACCAGGGCAAGATGCGGGCCAGAGTGAAGTTACAGGAACCCAGCAAGCACGGCCAGAAAGAGACTAAGGTCTTTCGGTGCAGCCCTTATAAAGCTCCCTTACGTCACACCGGATTTCCTTCACCACGCCCTTATGGGCGAGTCCCGGTCCGCCTGGCACCTGTCCCGTGACTATTGGGCGGGGCTAGGGTGTCTCCCTACAATTCCCCTGGGCTAGGGTGTCTCCATACAGTCTATTCATTACAACCTTTTTCATATCACTAATTAATTATGGTGAAAATCATCTCAGAAGGTGTTAAGCCTTTCCATCGTCTCTAAATGTAAAATGTAAGTATTTTCTGGGCCGCCATCTGCAAGAAGTACGCTCTCATTGTTCTTCCCCTTTTACCGCTCTGCTGTCACAGTTTATAATAAACTGTGGTTTTTACATTCAACACAAGATTGAAACAATACTAGAATTACTTTAGCTTGAATCACATATACCCTATCTGAATAGAAAGTTCTATTTTTATAATAAATTAAGCAAATTCTATACTAAGGAACAATATAAACTTTAGTAAGAATGGGAGGTGGGCAGAGAGAGATGGCTCAGTGCTTAAGAAGAAACGGCTGTTTCTCTAACCTGGGTTCAGTTCCCAGCATCACATGGCAGCTTACTGTCCTTATCTATAGTTCCAGGGGAACCAGAACCCTCTTGTGGCTTTTGCCAGCACCAGGCACACAGTTCACTTACATACATGCAGGTACAACCCTCACACATAAAATGAAAATACATGTGAATGCTCTAAGACACACTCTTCTGTGTGGTCCAAAAAGTTATTTCCTGAAGGACCAACGGAGTGGGAAAGATCCTCCCCCAGGTAGGAAAGACCTTTCCATAGCAGCCCGTATATAAAGAGATCCTGGTGAAAACTAACACTGCTTTTGCCTGCCTGCCTTTACTCCCCACTGGTGAGAACGTCTACCATACTGCTGAGATCAGAAGTCAGCTTCTTTAGCCTTCCAACACAGACTCAATGTCAGTGGTCCTCCAGGTCTTCAGTGTCAGCTGGCCTCATAGACTGAGAAGCTACAAGTCTTAGAATCTCTAGTGCACAGCTAGCCATTGGTGAATTACCTAAGTCCCTACTGTGTATGCCAATCTTCTAATATATATTCACACCATCTGTTCTCTTGTACAGATTCCTACATAATACAATACAAAAAGAATGCTTAGGCTTCAATATTAAGACAAAGATGCTAAGATGAGGTAAGAACAACAATTTTCTCCCTTATATGAAAACTTTTAATTAATCCTTAAACTATGTGAACAATGGCATTTTATCATAAAGTTAACTTTTATCTGTTTGTATTTATAAAAAATAATGCCTAGAAAGTTATTTTGATGGTATACCCATTCCAAACATGAAGCTACCGCCTACTTAAAAGTACTGGCTACTATGCCAAGCATATAGGGCTAACATAAGAACACCAATAAAACAAACTATTTTCCCTACTTTCCCTTTTAACTCAATTCTGTACTCTATAAAACTTCCAATCTAATTTTTGACAGGTGACAGAGTCACAAAAATGAAATATAAAAACATTTATAGTGAACAGTTAGGCTGTCACATTGACCCTGGCCCTCATCATAAACCCAGTTACCCTACTCTTCCCTAAATAAGTCTACTGGATTCTTCTATATTCTCTCTGAAATTCAGCAAGCAGTTTCTTATTAAAATACAGAAGGTTGCAAATATTCCACAAATTCAAATGTTTTCCTTTGTATCATTTATTTCAATTCAACATGGTCTATATTAATGCCTACCTATTCTCAATGCCTAACACAACCTTTGATTCCTTAGCAAGGCTTTAAGGGAGCAGCAGCTTAAGCACAGCAGGACTGTGAACAAAGGAAGCGTCAATGACCATAAGCTAACAGACACATAATCAACCATTAAGCCCCCAGGAACATTGGGGAAGAAGAACTAATTTTTTTTTTTTCTAAATACCTAGCCTCATACCTACTGTGTCTGTTTTAGTGTGTACTGTGGTTCCTTCTATGACACACATGGCATATTTGGCCTCCCCTTTTCAATTAAAGACTCTTGTCAAGACTTTCTGACAGAATGAAGCACAATCCTCAGTCACCACAGGGTTTGAGAAAATGAGTTATTTTATAATCAGTATAATCAGAATGAATCTATTTGCAAAGACTCAAATGTATTAGGAACAAAACAACCTAGTACTCAAGTACTTACTTGATTATGAGTTAGAAATAAAATTTAAAAGTGATAAGTAGTCAGTGGTATAATCAAGTGTCACAAGAATGTAGCCTAAGGACAGTGTACTGTATTTACAATGCTGAGCAGACATTAAGGAGGTAGCTTTTGAGTGTACCAAGACAGGCTAGTTTCAAAAAGCATGAGGCAGTATGGGCCAAGAAGGCAGGTGACAGGCAGTAAGGAGTTATCCTTTAAGATGTCTTGGCTAGCTGGGCGGTGGTGGTGCATGCCTTCAGTCCCAGTGCTTGGGAGGCAGAGGCAGGAGGATCTCTTTGAGTTTGAGGCCAGCCTGGTCTACAGAGCCAGTTCCAGGACAGCCAGAGCTACACAAAGAAACCCTTTCTCAAAACAACAACAACAACAAAAAGATGTCTAGGCTGATATGGCCCAAATTCAGGCTACTGCCTGTTTTATGTGGGTTATCAATAGATTTTACATTTTTAAGTGGTTAAAAAATAATCACAGTACTTCAGTACACACCAGGCCCATCTATTTCTACATTGCCTGTGACTGTTCCGCATTACACCACAGAGCTGGGGAGACACGACAGGCATCAAGGGAAATCACAGTACCCCTAATATTTGCTCCCTAGCTTTCTGAAGGAAGTCTTGTCAAACCCTCTCTTAAGAAGGCCTGTATAGCTGACACAATATGAGTGAGGGGCTGAACAAAGGCAGAGAAATAAAAAGACACTTGTTCATCAGGGGAAGATCTGGATGCCATCCTAGGAGTGAGAAGGAAGCTACTGAGCTTAAGTAGGAGAGTGACAGTTAAGTTAGATTTGCATTTTAAAGGTCATTCTGGCTGTCATACTGGGGACCAAAAGTGTTAGGAGAGATAAAGCTAGTGTAGTAATTAATTTAGGCACGAAATGAATACAACTTGGACTCTGGTGGTAAAATATTGAGGCTAGGAAAGACTAGTTGCAAATGCACAGGGTTCAAAATCTGGTCTAGTTACTTTAGTAAGCACTGTTTTTGTTTTCTCCGAGACAGGGTTTCTCTGTAGTTTTGGAGTCTGTCCTGGAACTAGCTCTTGTAGACCAGGCTGGTCTGGAACTCACAGATCCACCTGCCTCTACCTCCCAAGTGCTGGGATTAAGGGCGTGCGCCACTACCACCTAGCTTTAGTGAGAATTTTTATTAATCATAATTTTCAAAACTGCTATGCTACAAATGCTCTCCAAAAGGGTAAGATAAAAATGTCAGCATAGCACTGTGCATGTGAAAACTTGGGAATTATTGCAAAATAAATATTTCCGAGTATTCTTCTAAATATGATTTATAGTTTTGCAAACTGAAAAAGACTATTTTCATCAAATTTATGTTTAAACTACCTAAAGGATAAAATAACACAATATAAACTAGCATAAAACCAGAATAAACATAAACAGTCTTTAAGTGCATTTCTATCATACTTTCTTGCCCACAGGTAGTAAAGAGAAAACAAAGACCATACCTGCTACATTCTAACAGTGTAACTTTAAGCCGGCCTTCAGTAAGTGCCCACTGTTGAATATGGATAAGTTCTTCATCTTCTTCAAATTCTTGCAAGGCTTGGTATGGAAAAAACGGCTTAAACCTGACAAAAGTAAAGATAAGTCTAAATAAATTTCTGAATAATAATCATAGTTCAGAGCATAATGAATATCTACCTGTTTAACAAAGACTCAAAACACTTAATAATACATTAGCTCTACAAAATCAAAGCATAACACAACTGGAAGCCAATGGTGTCCTCTCTGTATCATCTAGGAGTTGTGGTTTTGTGAATACCCTTACTGACAAGCCCAGGTCACTTAGCATAAAGAAAAGGAAACCCCAAGAGACCCTCAAGTTTGAATGGAGACAGAGTCTTTGGATCAGATGAGAATTTCCTACAATACATGATCAAAATTCAGAATGCATGGTCAGTGAAACAAGATGATAGTGATGAGTACATAATAATGAAAATAATAACACTCCATACTGGGTGTTCATACACACACCCCTACCCACCTCTTTAGAAAGACTACTAAAGATTTGATCCAACTTGACACAGCAGGGCCCCACCAGAATTCAAGCTAAACTGACTTTATCAAAACCCAAACTATGGAACATCTCAGCTATGACTTACTGGAGCACTGCGTGGTTATCATTAATATCTTTTTTCTTATGGAGATGGCCTGTGCTTGGTTATAAATTGTAGGAGTTTAAAAAGAGCAAAGCTTGAACTTCAACCATCATACTCCTCCATTAACACAAAAAACAAAGAATATAAGAAAAAACTGGGCTTAAAGCTGTGATTTTCAATCTGCACTAACCGTGGCATTTACCTGTTCCGAAAAATTTTAAAGTTTAAAAGAACAAAAAAACATCTGGGTATGATGACATACATCTGTAATCTCAGCAACTAAAAAAGCTGAGACCTCCAGAGGTTAAGAGCATGGACTGCTCTTCCAGAGGTCCTGAGTTCAATTCCCAGCAACCACATGGTTGCTCACAACCATCTGTAATGAGATCTGGTGCCCTCTTCTGGTGTGCAGATATACATGAAGCAGAATGTTGTATACATAATAAATAAATTAAAAAAAAAAGGTTAGAGTCTCTTGATCATTTAAACTAGGGAGTTTAAAACCAGTCTATGCATCAAAGCAAGATTGATTCAAAGAGATTTTGACAATGAGATTCTCAGTTTCACATATAAAGGCCATCCCAATTTATCTCTCTCCTCCCCCCCTCCTCCCTTTCTCTCTCTCTTTTTTTTCCAAGACAGGATTTCTCTGTGTAACAGCCCTGGCTGTCCAGTAACTCTCTTAGTAGAGTAGGCTGGCCTCAAACTCACAGAGATCCACCTGCCTCTGCCTCCCGGGCATATGCCACCATGCCCAGCCACAATTCATCTTTCTAATCATATGCCCTCTGAATGCAACAAGCCTTTCAGTCTAGGAAGTCACTGCAGGCTCCCAGAAGGCACCATGCACACAACTCTGGACCTTTGGTTCCAACTGGAGGTTTATTTTCCTGGCTCCTCAAGGGTGCCAGTTCTCATGCTTCTTTTTTCTACTTGGCTTCAGAAACCAGATCACAGCAGACTAAACACACTGGCTTCTTTTCTCTTTATCTGACAGTCATTTAATGGCCACTTACGCCTTGCAATCTCCAATATGGCATCATCTCACAGCAGCTCCTGTACCTCTCACAAATCAGGGTATCTCATTCATTCAGTATTTCAGTACTGATGAGATGATTTATGAAAAGCAAACACTAAAAATTAAAAGCTTTGAGGGCACCAGTAGTGTACTGTGATTTATCCTTAAGAACACTGACAGAGGAGGGAAAGTCCCGTGTAGGGAGATATCCCAGGTACCTGTAGTGCTGACCATGCCCCAAAATGGACGTGGTCACAGGTACATAGTAGGTGGGTGGAATAAAAGGCTGGGGACCGGGGTACAAGCTCTCTTTCGGGCTCCGGTCAGTCTTGGAAGGCCACAGAGGCTAACCTGGGTTACCAGCTTTCCCATAATAAATAACTCACTATACCCCTTTTCCAGTGTGCGGTTCAATTTCCTTTTCAGCCCTGTTTTCCAGCAAATGTGAATAAAAGGAAAATCTACTGCCGGAAGCAGTAGGAACACAGACAATGCTCATTGTTTTCTACTGGTTTTAAAGTAGGAAAGAACGGATCTCTGTGAGTTCGAGGCCAGCCTGGTCTCCAGAGTGAGTGCCAGGATAGGCTCCAAAGCTACACAGAGAAACCCTGTCTCAGAAAGAAAATACATAAATAAAGTAAGTAAGACAGAAAGCAGAGAGCCCCTCAGTTTCTCCAAAATACTGCACTGATTTGCTTTTGAAGCCATTTGACTCAGATATATTCCAAATTCCTTGAGATTAAAAAAAAAAGATCAGAAATGAGATATATATTAATACAATGTTATGTCTGATATCTTTGACCATATAAGCCTTACAGTTTCTGAAGAACATAAAAATCCATTAACTCTTAAAAATTAAAAATATCATTACATTCTCTAGAAATTAGCTAAATTAAATTACAGTTGAAATAAGAATCCATTGTCCTTGTCAAAACTCCGTCACAATTCTCAAAGGAGCATGAGCTAAACAGCATATGACACACAGTCCAATCTGGATTTATTAATGCCTTCAGTGCTTTGCCAGGAATGTTTATGCATAAAATACATTAAAGTCAGAAAATGGAGGAATTCCATGTAAGATGAATACACTGAACAGGATAAAGCTGTCATTCATCGAGCCAGTCAAAAGAATCAGCCCTGATGATACTCACGGGAGACCTGCCCTTTCCTAAATGGAAACCCAGGGGAGTGGATTGGGGGGTGGGAACAGAGTGGGTGGGAACAGAGGGATGGGGAGAGGAGAAAAGGGAAACTGTGGCCAGGATGTAAAATTTTTAAAAATTTATTTAAAAAAAAAGTAAAAAGGGTAAGTCTTGTGGGGGAAGAAAGAACATTTGGCTTTCAAAACTGTTTAAGACAAAGCTTTTCCCTACCCATAAGGAAGGCCAACAACAAAGCAGGCTGCTTCTACTCTGCCTTTACTTTTCCATTCCACCATCTCCTGCCAACCTAGCAATTAAAAATGTAAGTTTTCCCACTCAGGCTCACAGAAAATTAGCTTTCTTTAGCAAGCTACCCGCACTTCCTCCTACTGCAGAAAACTTAAATACTAATCTTAGGAAGACTGGAATTAAGGGAGACAGTGAGATCATCTAACCTGCTCCCCAGTAAAAATCTGTGAAAAAACTTTCATAGAAAATTAAAAAAAAAAAAAAAACAAAAAACGAAGTCTCTGAAATGGTCCTAAGGGCAAATAGTAAATAAAGAAACATCTATTCAAAAATTCTATAAAAACTTAGTAAGAAAGCCAAGTCTGATACTTAAGCCAAGATGGCTCCCTTTCTTATAATAAGCTCAGGGAGACAGACTCTGCTCCAGACTATGAAGGGAAAGATTGATGAGTGCTCTTGTCAGTCCCCAGCTGCCTGTTACAAGGTTAAGCTCTCTTGAGTGCTGCAGAGAGGTGAGGACTCTGTCCTTTGATTTTCGGAATGAGATGTCTACTTTGAGCACAACACCCTGAGCAGACAACACTTTGGCCCTGACTGCCTGTTTCTCTACCCTCAGGGTTCCACAGTGACAACAGCTAAAGTACATCAGCCTGTCTGGGGCAACCCAGTGCTCAGTTCCTAAAGCTGGGGTTTCACCCAGACAGAAGCCACCAATGCTTCCTTTCCACCACTACTTTCAGGGGCTTGGCCCAGAGACTGTACTGAGAGAAGGACACAGCAGGAAAAACTCTACAAATCTCTTAACAAAGCTAATTTGGTGCACAATAGACTATGGAAACTTGCTGAAGAATTCAAGGTTTCAAGGAACATACACCCTAAGACTATAGGTTCTGAGCTGGGAGCAACTCTCCTGGGATCAAACAAATACCAAGCACCGACTAAAGAACCTAACCTACGCTGAGGGAACCACACTCTAATTTGACTAGTCCAAAGAACAACAATCGACAGTTGGCAGCACTGTCATTAACAACAGACTTAAGATCAGAAGCTTAGCCTGGAAAGGAGACACATACCACACTAGAACACTCCAGACAGTAACTAGGAAACAAGCAAACAACTAGGCATGCTGGAGGTTAACCTGGGCTACATGATAAGATCCTGTTTCAAAGGCCACACGTGGTCACAAGGAAGAAGAGCGAGTTTACTAAAGTGTGCAGTACCGGGAGCTGGGAGAGGGTAAAACGAAGCCGAGCCTGTGTGAAAACGCCATTAAAAATCCTGTCTCAAAATCAAGCAAAGCAGTTACAAGCACTGGGGTAGGAAAGCCCAGTACTCATGAATTCCTAAAATGTATTACCTGAAACTTCTAGTTTTTACTAAAAATTACAAAACATTCAAACAAACAGGAAAATAAGATCCACCCAGCATGGAAATAAAAATAATAGAAAAAAACAAACTGCTTGTGAGAGTTAACAGACTATAGATGTCATCAATTTAAAACAGTGATATTAATACTGGAAAAATGCAGAGGGATGGTAAGAAGGGGTATACATTAAATCATCTATCTTAAGAGGTTAAACACATCACAGTTAAATCAAAAATAGCTGTGACATTATTGAAGCTAGAATCAAACCACTTAGCAGATGTTAAAAAGAGAAACAGTTACAAAGGATCACTCCTAGACAGTGAGTGATTTTTATAAAATCTTTTCTCTTTAGGCTATGGCTGTGGTCCTGGGTTAAATTCTCAACACCCAAATATATCCTTCTGTTCTATCCTATCTTTAGCTTATATGCATTAACTAAAACAAGGAGAGACAGAACCAAACACTACAGGATGTGAAGCTGCTGGATTGGATGGCTAGAAAATTGCCATTCTCTATCAAGTCTGAAAAGACATAGAAACCTATCAATCAGAAATCCTAGTCCAAGGAGTATCGAAAACAAATGCACACAATATTCATGAAAAGACATGTGTAAAACCATTCATAACACCAAGCAATTGTCTGTCATCATTCTACTGAGGCATAATTACACACACTTGACAGAAAATAAAATGAA